AAGAAGAAGAAGAAGAAGAAGAAGAAGAAGAAGAAGAAGAAGAAGAAAGCAGCATATCAGAAGCAGCAGGGATCAGTGCTGAGGGACCCTGAACATGAGAGCTTTCTAGAGGGAGTTCATACCCAGAGAGGAAGGTGCTGCCCTTCATCTAGCTGGTGGAGGAAAAGACTCTCTTCTCCGCTGGAAACCAGGGCTCCCCTTTCAGGGGCTGTGGCTCAGGGCTTCGTTCCCATGCAGCCCAACATAAAGCACCTTATGAGAATGAGCACTCAAGACCCAGGCACAGCTAACCCATGAGACCCAGGGATACCTAACCTTTCTCATCTGGATGCCTCAGCCCTGTTCCTGCCACCTCCTCCTTCCTGCATCGGTGGAGGCCTTTGGGACTGGGGCAATAACGGCTCCTCACTTGTCTGAAGGAATGGGTGATTTTCCACTGGGGGGGGGAGAGCAGCAACTGGCTGCTTTATGATGTAGATGAAGCTATGTGGTCCCACTTCCAGGTTTCCCACAGTCCCCGAGAATAGGCTCTTGGTAGCACCACTGTTGCCACTAAAAGCCCTGGAAGCAAAGCCTCAGCTGAAAAAAGAGCTAGGGCTCTTCTTACGGAGTGAACACAGAGGCGCGGGTCGATCTTAAAATGGAGGGAAACATGAACTGTGGTGCAAAGTGTGTTGCTGGTGGACAGCACGGGCACGCCTTCTCAGTCTGTCCACTTTGTGCTTGCTGCTCTGCCCACTTCCCTGGCATCAGCCTTTCTGCACTGAGAAAAGAGCTGTGAGGAACTTGCCCACAGCCTCACCACCCCCACTCTCCGACAATACACAACTTCTAGGCGCCTCTAAGATGGCATCAGCTACCCAACCTCGGCTAGATGATGTTCAAGTTCAAACTACTCTGTCACAATGCATTAAAAGTGGTGATGCATTAGACGTGCTTGTGTGTGTGCATGCATAGCGGTGTGTGTGCAGCTGAGCAGTTGTGTGTGTGCTTGTGCATTTGGAGGCCATAAGTCAACTCAGGCGTTGTTCTTCAGGAACCATCCACCCTGGTTTTTGACACAGGATCTCTCCTGGCTGCATGGCTGGTCAGTAAGCCCCAGGGACCTGCCTGTCTCTGCTTTCCAGACCTGTGATCACCAGAGCTCTCCACCACACCCAGAATTTCATGTGGGTGCAAGGGCTCGAACTCAGGCCCTCTTAGTTGTGTGATGAGCACTTTATTGACTGAGCATGTTCTCTGTCTCTCTGTCTCTGTCTGTCTCAGTCTCTCTGTGTCTCTCTGTGTCTGTCTCTGTCTGTCTGTCTGTCTGTCTGTCTTTCTCTCTGGGACTTTGATGTGAACCAAAGAGAAAAGCAGAAGCTCCCTGGCTCGTGGAGCTGGCGGCCTCCGCCCAGCATCCTGCTTCTACAGCCTGGACTTTTACTTTCTAGATCTTGTCTTTTGCCCTCAGCTTTGTGCAAGTATTTTCCAATCAGACAACATTGGTAGTAGGGTGGATGGTAATATGCCCCAGAGGCCAGAGGCAGTGGGCTCCGGGACACTGGCTGCAACCAGCTGGACATAGTTCCCAGTCTCAGAGGAGCACAGGCCAGCCCAAATAACAGCACCCAGATGAGAGCAGACTCTGCCACACAGCTGGATGTGCTCAGGCCTGAAGATGGGCACATGCCTTGTGAAATTATTCTTTTACCTTACAGCAAAGATCTGAAACTTGGGCCCCTCTGACTACACTTTCTCAAAATCCCAGCTATCCAAGTTGATACTGAATAAAACACAAAGACAGGTTCTTATAAAACATCCAGGGATGTGTGTCTGCTTAATGGTCTCGGAGTCGGAGGGTTGCAGCTGGGAAGCCTTCTCCAGGCTCCAAGGGCATGGCCATGGCCCTAGTAACCAACAGAAATGCCAGGATCCACAACAGCAGAGATTTTGATTGGCCACAGTGCACTTATGCCTTATCCAAGTGTAATTACACTCTAAGAATGGGAAACACATTACTATTTTCTGAATTTAAAACCCACCTGCCATGGGCCTGAACAAACATCTCAGTGGCTAAGGTATTGTATCCCTATTGCTATTTGCAGAGGACCTGAATTAGGTTCCCAGCACCCACCCTGGGGTGCTCACAGCTGCCTGCAACCCTAGCAGTAGAAAACCCATTCTTTTCTTGCCTCTGACAGCACCTGCACAGGTGCAGCATACTCTCTCTCTCTCTCTCTCTCTCTCTCTCTCTCTCTCTCTCCTCTCTCTCTCTCTCGCTCTCTCTCTCTCTCTCTCTCACACACACACACACACACACACACACACACGTACACACAGATAACAATCCATTTAAACATGGACTTGACTTTGTGAGTACTTTTCTTCTCCTGGTGCTAGTGGCCAAATCCAAGGCCTTATGCTTGATAGACAAGGACTCTTGAGTCCTTGTCACTGAGCCAAATCCCCATCCTAGTTTCAGTTTTTTCTAATGAAAATTTCAAATTATTAATCATAAAATCAAAGCACACTTTTCATTAATTCTTGAAATGCTAGAGTTAATTAAAGTGTTTGCTGACTGGGTTGTGTTGGTGTTGGCCTTTTTTTTAATGTGCACATCGTGTGTGTGTGTGTGTGTGTGTGTGCATGTGTGTGTGTGTGTGTGTGTGTGTGTGTGTGTGCATGTATGTGTGTATGGATATGTATAGATTCAGGGGCCAAAGGCTGATGGCAGATGTCTTTTTCAATAGCTTCTCCACTGAATTTTCTGAGACAGTGTCTCTCCTGGAGCTTGCCCATTGTCTAGACCTGCTAGCCAAAGGCCCCTGCTGCCTTGCCTCCTCAGCCCTGTGATGGCAGTTGTGTGCCACTGTGCCTGCCTCCTTACATGGGTGCCAGGGATCTGAACTTAGGTGCTCACACTTGCATGGCTGGTACTTTCCTGCCTGGGCCATCTCTCCTCGCTGCAGTGTTGGCATCTTAGCACACCAACTAGCTGTCCTGCGTGCTCCTCACTGAACCATGTGGAGATCTCAGAACAAGTCAGGACTGCTGCCAATGGAATTACAGCCCCTAGCCAGCTGACCTGTAAGGATTACCCTGTGTGGGCCTGACTCAGGCAGGTGAGAGTCCTCAGCTGCAAGTCCCCAAGGAAAGGAAAGCTTGCTGATTCCTACCATGGGGAAGCTTTAGCCATGCCACTGAGGTCCCAGCCAGCTTGACAATCTCCCTGTCGACATTGCAATTGCTTAGCTAGTCTGTGTAAATGTGTGAGGTAAGTCCTTGTAATACATCTGTGTGTAGATATATGCAAGTAATAAATTTGCCACGTGTAAGCACCGACATATGCATACATAAATGTACATACCATACAGATGTATGGAAGTGCATATGTAATGCAAAGTTAATACACAGCTATGTACACACAGACAAAGACAATTCCATGTATGCCTGCATATACGAATGTGTCATACATGTTTACATGTGCTTGTCTCTGGCGGAAGCCAAGAGATAAGTGTGAAATGCCAGGATGAAAGTGCTCCATGCAGGACTGTGCCGAGCGGGGCTGTGAGTTAGCCACAGGCCTTGGATGAGGACAAGTGGGGTGACGGAGTGTGGTAGGAAGCACGTGAGGAGTCAGGTTGAGGAGGAAGAGAAGGAGGAGGCACGGGGTTTACCCAGTGCCCCACGGTGTTCTGCGCTTGTCGGGATTACCAAGTCTGTGGGCGTCACACTGAGCCACAGTGTTGCAGCCGCTGCCTGAGTGGACTTTACACTGACATCCGTGGAACGCTCCCTCAACCAGGCACATCGTAAGTACCTTAGCCTCTGAGGCACCATGCTACTACTTTCCACTGGGCACGCTGGACATGGGTTACCCCTGTTGCAAAATGGGACCCTCAGCCCGGAGACTGTATCGGACTCTGAGCACGGCTCAGGCTGGTGAGAAGGGCAGTTGTGGATTTTTCCCCAGCATTACCCATCACTGATTGCTCGGAGAGTGGCACAGCCTCCTCTCTCTCCAGCCACCACACGCTTCTCTTTTCTGTGCTCTGGTCAGCAGGATTAAGACCCTCTAGTGAGTGGTCCATGCAGAGAAGAATTGGTGAGTAAAATTTCTTGGCTTTATGCCTTTTGTTTCTAATAAGTACTCTAGCACTCAACTCGGTGTGTCTATGCTCGGTCATGTGCCCACACGCTTGGAGAAACATTAATTTAAAATGGAAACAACTGTTAGTAGAGGCAACCTTACCTAAAAGGTAAAAATAGATATGAAAAAAACAATCTATACATATCATATATGCATGTATGTGTGTGTATATACATCTGTCTTTGCATATATGTAATACACACATGTGTGTTTATGTGTGTGTGTCTGTCCATGCTTGTGTATGTGATTCACTATAAATAAGTCCATACAAAGGTCATGATGGAACTCCTTGTAATTCTGCAACTTGAGAGATGGAAGGTAAATTCAAAGACAGCCTGGGCTACAGAGGAAAATCTGTCTCACAAAAACAAGGGCTGGAACACAGCTCAGTGGTAAAGCACCTGAGTTTGACTCCCAAACCCTGAAAAAAAATCCTTTTACATGTATTTACTCAGAGTGTGCATGAGTCTTGGCACATCCGTGGCGTGAGAAGACTCTCCTTCTACCACGTGGGTTCCAGGGACCAAACAGGTAGCAGGTGCCTTTTGCCTCTGAGCTATCTTCCCCTCAAAGTTGCCTTTTTTACTGTCCCTCAAAACTCAGTCATGTAACAAAATATAGGAATCACCCTGATGCCTTGAGGGGCAAAGCACCCCTGGAGCCCCTAGTCCCCTCCCTTGTGAAGACCTCTACGTAGCAGAGGACCTGATACTGCAACATGGGACCCCGGACAGCGATGGTGAGCTGACTGTACAAAGATTGCGACTCGGCAGGCTGTGTTCATTGCAATGACTGAAGTTATGTGTTGTAGAGGACAAGGCCACAAAGCAGACAGGTTGCACATCAGCAGCGACGGAGAAGCTACAAGCAAAGCCCACATGCCCAGCAAAGAGCCACGAGGCTCAGCAGGACACAGGAAGCAGGGTGCAGAGAAAGAGCTGTGAAGACACAGTGCAGGGCTGCCAGGCTCAGCATGTGCACTGAAACTGGGCATGCGTGGGCGGGAGGCGTGGAGGCTGGGCCCCAGTCAGCCAGCGGACCATGAACTGCGGGCGGGTCTACCCTACCACTTAGTCAGGGGCAGTGAGCAGGGGACGCTGTAGCACCTTTTTGTGGCCAGGCTTTGGGAAGGAGTAGGATTTGATTCTTGAGATTATTCCACCTGGTGTCCAGCTCTAGAAAGCACAATGGCAGAGAGGAACAGAGCATTTAGTTTCAGAAAACACACGTGGGATATTCTTCATCGTGACAGGCTACCTGGCCTTGCTTCTGCAAATGCATGCCCGGCCCCTTGACCTCTCCCAGGGAGGATTTCCTGCATGAAAGCGGATTATTGGAGATGCTTCCAAAAGAGTCTAACACTCTAGCTGAGAGGTCTAGAACATTCAGTATTTTCCCAGACGGCTACAAAATTAAAGCTGAGAAGTGAAGCAGCCGTGGTGTCTGTGGAGATGTTGTGTCTCAGGCCCCACAAGAGACTCTAATCACTGGCTGCCTGGTGGCATCACTGTTCAGTGGCAATGATTGCAATATGACACTGTCATCTACAAATGGTCGCAGCTCTCAGGCCAGAAGTTGGACATGCCTGAGAAGGACAACAGATCTTTCTCAAGGGCACAAGAATGATGATGAACACCAAGTCCACGAGAAGCACGAGGGCTCCGGGGGCCACTGTGTTTCCGAGGACGACCCTCAAGTTCACTGGTGTTTTAACCAATTCAAGGTCTTCCAATTTGGTAACAAGTGCTAACCCTGGGATAAACAGTCTCCGTGCTGAGTGGAAGACCATCCCCAGGGGGACAGACCTGTGTTTGGCTTTTGGTAGATCTTGTTTTTCAGGAGCTTAGCAGAGAAGCTGGGAACTATTTCCTGGTGTGCTCATGGCCTGGGATGTCCCCACTGATGTCCCTGTGATATGATAGAGTGACTCCTGAGGAGTAACAGCCTAAGTACTAGCTCCTCCATCCTGGATGGAGGAGGGACTTGAGCTTCTTCTCTCCGTGTGGGCATGATGATGGAAGGGGACCCTAACACAGGGGCATCTGGGTACATCCTATCTAGTGACAGAGTGGGATGTGGGCCTTTCTCTTGATGTGTACCAAGGACACCCTCCCTCCCCTAATCCTGGGTCATACCAATTTACACAGAGGATTAAGTCCCTAGAAATAATGTATCAATTGGTTTGGTCAAGGCTGTTGAGTAGCCAACCTCAAGGAGATACCTATCTGCTGATCGTGTTACACAGATATGCATGTTGGCAGGCCTGTGGATGGCACACTCGAGTTCACTCAGACATCGCAAGGCTGAATTTGAACACTCGATTTCCCTTTTCTACATCTGATCTGACAGTGGGTTTCTTCCTCATCCTGCACACTTCTGAGAACTGAGAGAAAATAAGACAGCCAAGAAACCATGAAACCCTTCTTAGCTCAGCAGATGGCTTCCCAGACTCACTGGAACTCCCAGTGAGTTTTCAGGGATGTGCTTGAAGTACAGGTTCTGTGCTAACTAAAACCTGATTTTCCCATGTGCTTGGACATACTGCTTCCCCAGCAGAGGCACCTGTGAATACTCACCACGGTGTTTGGGCTCGGCAGGGTACCTGCAAGAAGAATGTGCTACGGTTACAGTTCAATTACTGTTGCGTTCCTGTGAGCCACCTACTTCTCAGATTAATGAGTACGACTGGACCGTGCTGGGGAGACTGAACTTTCTTTCACTGGATTTTTCACATCTTCAGTTAAGCTCTTCATTTTGAGACAGGGTCTGACTATATACCAGGCTGGTCTTGAACTCACACAGATTGCCTGCCTCTGCCTCCTCAATGCTAGGATTAAAGGTGTGCCCCACCATCCCTGGTAACACATTCAATTCAAATCCACGACTTTTTTGTTTTGTTTTTTAAGGATTTTTTTTTTTAGTTCAGTGTATGAGTCCTCTGTTACACCTACACACCAGAAGAGAGCATCAGATCTTGTTATAGATGGTTGTGAGCCACCATGCCATTGCTGGGAATTGAACTCAGGACCTCTGGAAGAGCAGACAGTGCTCTTAACCACTGAGCCATCTCTCTATCCCCCCACACACACCCAAAGCTATAGTGATTGGTTATCTTTCAACTAATGATTCCTCCAGTTGAAGTGACATCAAGTTCAATCACTTGGTAAAAACCAAAGCCTCATTCTGCTTCCACCTGGAATAGGCAAACCTGACACCAGGCTGACCATGACCAGTTTCCCCAACCCACAGGCTCGGCTGCCCCAGCCACTCACCCAACTGTGCGCCAATCTTTTGACATGGTACCGTGAGGACTCTCAACAGCCCGTCAGGCTTGTAGGAGTAATGCTCCACTAACTGCAAGAGAGAGCAAGGAAGAAAGCGGTTAATGAGGGAGAGGTAGGAGCCGGTGGCAGAGCCACAGCCCTCTTAGGCTTCAGAGCCATCTACAGTGCAGATGGTGTCTTCTAGAGGGTACTTCGGGGATGGGTAGGGGATGTCCTTGGGTAGAGCCAACAAACTTGTTATCCTTGAAGCAGCTGGTCACACTCACAGTCAGAGTGCACAGTGAATGAATGCAAGAATGCTCACTGCTTAGCACGCTCCTCGTTTGTACGGACCAGAACCCAACCCTAGGGAACGGTGCCACCCACCATGGCCTGGCTCCCCCGACATCAATTCATGGAATCAAAACAATTCTCACAGACATGCTCACGAGCTAACCTACACAGCCCTTCACTGAGACTCTCTTCTCAGGTGATTTAGATTGTGTCAAAATAACAACTAACCATCACATAGCCAGATGGTGATACATTAGGGATTTGAGGTCTCCAAACCATGTCTGTCATCACCCGATCCTTTACTGGCTTATTTGTTTATTTGCTAAGATAGGATTTTGCTAGATAGCCCAGGCTGGCCTTGAATTTACTATGTACCTCAGGAAGGCCTTCAACTTTTGATCCTTCTGCCTCCACAGTTAATGTAGTTGTTATGCCAAATTGAGGAGGCAAAATGTGCATGGAAGCAATTTGGGGGGCTGGGTGAACAATGTTGGGCTGCTTCTGCACACTTAAGTTGCCTGTAGGTTTACAGACAGCTGTTGACAGCTGGGTTGAGAAAAACACCCTCCACAGAGCAGTGTTCTTCAGTGTCCCTGGACAGGAAGTTTGGATCCCAGAAAGAATGTGTGTGTGTGTGTGTGTGTGTGTGTGTGTGTGTGTGTGTGTGTGTACATGTTATTCTAGTCCCCGATGGCAGGACCTTCTGTTAAATTCTGAACACAGCCCAGGAATACATGATCTTGAGGCACCAAGAACTTAATGGCTCTAGATAGGTGATGAAAACATCTGCAGCTTCATGTGTCAGCATTTCCCAAACACGTAGTCTAGAAAGAAGTAGGCTGATGGGGTATATGGGACAGACAGCCTCATCCCTCCTCTTGTTTCTGAGAGTTTTGGAACTGCACTGTGCCCTCCAGAGAGGGAGGGAGAGAGAGAGAGACACACACAGAAAGAGAGAGAGAAGGGAGGGATTAGAGCAAAAGCAGAGAGAGAGAGAGAGTGCAGAAAAAGCATTCAGAGAGGGGGCTCACCTGCCAGAGGGTGTCAAACTTCTTCCCCTCAGGGATGGAGAGCTTCCCGGTCTTGTCTCTGTCGATGCGATAGTGTAACACCTTCCCTTCGTGCAGCACGCACAGCGCGTAGGAGCCACTGTTGTCTCTGGCCCTGATCCTTGGAGAGAGAGCACAGCGTGTTACTCTGACCTCTTGACCTGGGAAGCAGTACCCTGGCCACAGCTGGGGTTCCCACTGGGCGGCAGGCGCTCACCAGAACCAGCACGCCGGCAGGGGGCTGGCAGGCAGCACCCAGATCTCGAGGTCTCCGAGGCTCAGTACCGGAGCCGGAGGCTGACCCAGCAACAAGGAAAAGGACAATGTCCGAGGCCCAACAGCTCTGGAGATCAGTGAGAGAGCTTGGGGTGTGCATAGCTCAGGGCAACGGGTGCAGGCTTTGGGGTATCCAGGAAGCCCCCAGACTCATCTCCATTTTTAACTACAGGCACAGGTGTGGTGCAGATGGAAAGTCTAGTGGGCACTTTAACAGAATCTTCTAGAGCACACACAAAAGATTATGAATGCTTCTACTCCCATGGCTTTCTCCATTCTCTTGATCTCTCCCTAGGGCCAGGGCCAGGGCCAGGACCAGGGCCAGGGCCAAGGCCAGGTTTAAAATACTATTTGGTAATAGCAGGTAGCATTGCCTGCCTGAGAAGGAAATGGTAGCCACCAGGGTGAGCCAATAGAGACAGCCGAGGCCCCGTAAGCACCCATAGATGAACTGAGGACTCCATTTTCACTGCCATCATGAACTACACGTGGGATTCTGGACCCCCTTGCCAGGTGGCAACATACTGGCTCGCCCTTGAACCAAGGCACATGCGCAAAGCAGTCCTGCCCTTAGAGGAGAAAGCGGTACTTGGAAAGCTCAGTCCCCAGAGAGGGTGTGATCCAGGCTGATGTGGCAAGGAGAGAAGTGACTGTTCCAGCTGAGAATCTCATTTCTGCCCAGACAAGCCATTCCCCACTTTCCAGAAACTCACACCTTCTAACCGTGAGGTCTGGGGGAAGGGTGTGTCCCTGAGCCATCTGTGCGGTCTGGGAGTCAGTCCCTGAGGTCTCTGCAGCCTCTCCATTTGCTAAAACAAGGAAAGTGAATCCTCAGAGCATTCATCAACCTCCAAATGCTTCGCACTTGGGAAGAGTGTAGTTGGGTCCCAGCTGCCCTGGGGGAAGGGTGTCTGCAAACCGGTGCAATTTGTGCTGCTTTCTCGGGGTACAAGACACCAAGGCCACAGCCATAGCCACAATTCAGGCTGAGCTGGGCCTTGGAACCGGATGTGACCACACTTCTCTTTCCCCTGCCATGCCCATCTCTTGAAAGTGGGGGAGGTTCCTTTTGAAATGGTTCATGGCTGGCACAGTGGGCAGGGCTCGCTCCAGGCCCCTGCTTGAAGCTCAGGCCAGGTGGTGAGGAGTGGAAGACCCTTCTCTGCCCTTGCAGATGCCTATTCTAAACTTTCGCCACTGTGGAAACAGCCCCTTCCTCCTACAGCGAGTCACCAGCACCCTGAGGTACCAATCCCTTTAGATAGTCATGTGGCTGATTAGAGCCTTGTCAGTATTGGGTAATGCCCAACCACACAATAAATCACCATGTATGGACAGAGGGTTGAACTTGTTTTCTAGGGAAGCCATTCACAATGTGTGCTGCCTCCGTCTTACAGACACCAGTGGCTTGCAGAGAGGAGACTGTGTGCACACACATACATGTAAGGGTCTGGGGACACAGCTCGGGGGTAAGAACACTTACTATGAAAGCAGGCTGGACAAGGTCATGTGTGTCTGCAAGCCCAGTGATGGGGGTTGGAGACAGGCAGATGCTAGGAGCTCAGGGGCTGGCCAGCCCAGCCAAAGCAGTGAGCTTCAGGTTCAGTGAGACACTCTGCATCAGAGGAATACGTGGAGAGCGACAGAGGAAGACGCTGGAAGTCCTCCTCAAGTGTCTGCACTTACATGCATGGCCACGCACCCTAACACACATAGGCAGGCATAGAATACAGTGGTAGAGGGAAAAAGAGTGTGTGTGTGTGTGTGTGTGTGAGAGAGAGAGAGAGAGAGAGAGAGAGAGAGAGAAAGAGAGAGAGAGAAAGAGAGAGAGGACAAGAGGGAAGACAGGGAGAGGGAAGAAAGGATAAAGTGGGAGGGGAGGGAGAGGAGGGCATGAACACCTATCATGCCACCAACAGGACGTAGAGGCAGGAGGGCCGGTAGCTCCCTCCATTGCATAGAGAGCTGGAGGCTGGGCTGGGGTCCAGGAGATAAGGACAAGACAGACCAAAACAAGAAGCACACACATGAAGCACATGAAGAACTTGTACATACACTATAAAAGTGGATCAGGGGAGAAAGGTGACAAGAGGACACCGACATGTCATTCCTCTTACTACGAGCCCCTCACACCTGAGATCCCAAAGTTATGGAAAGAAAGGATGGGTCTGAGTCCCTCCATCCTTGTTGATCTCGTACTGATTAATCCATCCTGCCTCGGGCCTTGGTTGGCTTTTCTGTAGCTGAAGAAGAAAGGGCACTCCAGGGTCTGTGCTGCTGAGAAAAGGCGCACTATTTTCAGCCACAGAGAGGTATCCACACAGACTCTGAGCCTCCAACCTCCTATGCACTTCTTGGAGTTCACCTCTCACTGTGCTGAGGGAGGAAGGTCCGCGGGGGACAGGAATACAGGGCCAGCCTAGGCAACACAGCAGTGTCTCACTGGTAAACAAACCCAATATACCAGGCCCAGTGCCCAGGGAGGCAGATACCCAGAGGGATGGTGTAATGTGACCCTGTGAGAGTTATCTTTTTAAGAACCTCTCAGCTTCATACTCTCCACCTTGAACTGGCAATTCAAAGATGCTGTGAGTACGATTTGGCTAACAGCTACCCATTTTTAAAAGATGTGTTTGCTCCTTGCTTGTGGCTGCTCCACATTTTGTATGATTCACTCCTTCAATAGGTTTCGTAAAATGTAGGCAAATACTGACTAGGATCCCAGGGAAGAGAAAAATCCACAGAGAATTTGAGCCTCCCACCTCCTTTGTGCCTGTTTGGAGGAAGAAACATAAGGTAGATCACAAACCCAAGTAAAGTCAGTGCAAGCTCACTGACATAACAGCCCCCGCTCCATGTTTTTAATACATTGAAAAACCTAAGAAAGAAATTGCAAAGGATCCATTGTATTTCCTAAACCCCCTTACCCCAGTTGAAATATGCAGAACCCCCATCCTGTGAAGAGAGCCGGGCAGTGGCTGATATAGATCGAAAGGGGTATAGAAAATGAAATCATAATAAAAGGGGTCATTTGCTGAGACATATGAGCACCTCAGACTTGTGTTGGAGGGACAGGCTGGCGCTCTCTGTGCTTGTCAGAAACTGCGCACAACCCCAGTGTGGACAAGGCACTGAGCAAACTGTCAAATCCTACAGCAAATCCACTGAAGCAAAGGAAAGAGCTGGACCAACCAGGTGAGAGTGGCAGCTACAAACAGTGCTACTAAGTATCAGGAACAGGAAATGACGGAGGCTGGGGGGAGGCTCCACTGGCAAAGCACTTGCCACACAAGTATGGAGACCTGAGTTCGGATCCCCAGGATTCGAGTTTTTCGGGTGTGGTGGGGGGGGCCTGACGCAGTGGAGACAGGAGGATCCTGGGAGTCACACTGCCCAGCCTATTTGAACTGGTGAGTTCCAGGTTCAGTGAGGGGCCCTGCCTCAAACGACTAGAAGCAGAGTGACAGAGGAAGACCTCCACATCAGCCCGGGCCTCCACACGACAATGCCCCACTTGCACATGTGTGTGCACACGTGCAGCTGCATGAACACATCACGTGACACCCCCCACCCACACACGAGTAAGCATACTCCTTGATTGCTCATACACAAAGTCCCAGAAGGGCCAGAGCAAAAGATTGTATCTAGAGTTGTGCATCTTGATGGTAAAAAAAAAAAAAAGAGGAAGAGAGACATAAAATGTAAATACTTTATGAACACACGTCTAAGAGCGAGCCCCTTGGGGGACGAGTTGGGGGCTGGGGAGGGGTGTCTGCCACTCGGGTTGTATTCAGGTGGTGTTTGCTTGGTGTTTCTTCTTTAAACTGTGCCTGTGTAACTCTGGGGAATTTGGTGTCTCACGCTAAAAGCAGGAAAGGAGTAAAAGGAGGAAGAGGAGCCGGCCTCTGGTGCTTGCACAAGTCTATCTGCTAGAACCCGAGTTTCTTGGAGGCTCCCCAAGGGGACTATGTATCAGTGACTGTCTGTATCGGGGGCCAAGCTCCCCTCAGGCGGCAGGCGGCCCACAGCTGTGGTTACTGCCTGGACACACACTGAGCAGTGCCCACAGTGGCCGGGAGGAAATGGGGGCACAGACAGGAAATCCACAGGCTCAGCATCTACGAATGACAAAGACCAGAAGGGCCTGCCACACCAATGGCCCTGCAGCCCAGAGGTATCTGCAGGCTACAGACAGACCTGCCTGGGGCTGATTTACCTCAGAACAGGAGAACTGGTTAGGAAGCAGCTGCCTGGCCTCTGTCGTGGCTGCCTCCTGTTTCTAAGAGACTTAGCCTGTGTCACGGGTGTCAAACTGGTCCAGGTCTCTGGAGACAGCTCTGAGGTTAATCTTTGTGATTTTGCTGGGTTCCAATGGCTCTAGACTGTTCACAGAAGCCTTTGACTAATGTTTATCCTCCCCCATGTGTGTGTGTGTGTGTGTGTGTGTGTGTGTGTGTGTGTGTGTGTGTACAGGTGTGTGCACTGGTGTGCATGCTGATGTCTGAGGCTCACACTGCTGTCTTGCTTTACTTCTCTCTACTTCCTGAGACAGTGTCTCTAACTGAACTGGGTTGGCATGCTCCTGAGAGTCTCCCATCTCCTCCTCGGTGCTAGGACGACAAGTGTGCAGTGTGGATTCCAGGAACTGAAGTCCTCAAGCTTTTGAGAAAACCACTTCACCAACCCTGCTGTCACCCTGTCACTGTGGCTCAACATTTGACTATTTCCACCCGAAAATTTCCTTGGAGTAAGTAAGATCTTTAGCTTGGCTTTAGAAAGTGCTGGTCTTAGGGTGATGCTCTGGGGCTTATGCTGGAGCTTGTGCTAACTGGCCTCACTAGAGTC